CGTAGTATAGTACTTGGTCAAGCACGCTCATTCCTATAACTCATAAGATCAAGGCTGAATACTCGCCGTTGTAGGTCTCGATGTCCGCTGTCTGCTTGAGGCGTTGAAGCTTCTCGCGCAGGACAGACTGGTAATTTGACGCTTCGAAGTGTTGGAGCACAAGCTCACGGAAAATCCCCCACGTGTGCTCCTCCGCTCGAGTTGTCGACGACCAGTGCAGGAACCATCCGGATGCCGACTTTTCCATTGCCGATCCGGCAATTCCAGGAAGACGCGCGCTCGTGTCTTCAACTGGAATGTTGTTGATGCGGCAGGCGTTCTCGATCTGGAACAGCCATTCGCGGACGTCTTCCCCCCTCTTGCCCGTGAACTTGGGCAGATGGCTCGGCACTTTCGTGCGGTCAGCCATCGCTTGATTCAGACGATCGATCTCGGCGCGTAGCTGGGCGATTGTTGGCATGGGCTCCTTCTGGTCCGGTTGCTGGGACCAACAAGTGCTACCAGTATTTCAGGAAACGCTAACTTGGGGGAGGGCGCGCGAAACGAGAAGTGCCGCCCCCGCAGTTCAGGCGGATAGAACCTTCTAGAACCTTTTAGAAGGTTCCACGGCCGCCCTACATCTGCCTTTCTGTATTACATACTGAATCTATGTTAAACTGAGCCTGCCTCTGAATGGCTGAAACTATACACCTATCATATCTGATACAGTGCCTCCCCGCGGACTGTGATGGAATTAAGTATTTGTCCGAGAGCTGTTGATGAAATATCCGACGACCTGTCAATAAAACGCGGACAGTCGCAGGATCTGCTGGTGAACAGTGTTCAAAACAGGAGGAATTTCCATATCTCAGTGATTATCACTGAGATTTTGGTTTTAGATGGGGTTAATTGCCAGTCCATGACATTAATCAGTAGACGAGTAGTAATAGCATTTCAAAAATTAAATAGTAATGAATTGTTATTATCCTACTTAAAGCGTAATACAGTATTACATTCGACAAGGAGCGAGTTAGAGGTGTTGTGCGATGAAGTGGTTTTTTTTAGCTATACACAAGCTTAAAACACATGAAAAAAGAAACGATCGGATTGCAATGGTCTGACCCTCTCCTCGCTGCCCTTGGTCTCCTCGTCTAGTATGACCTCGTGCACCTCCCACCAGCCGACCTTGTCGAGTTGTCTTTTTAGGTGCTGCACCTTGCTCGACAGGCGGCTGGCTTTTTTTCTGCGTGCGGCTTGCCGCCTTCGGACCGCAACCACTTTTGCGCTCGAGGTGGCCCTTTAGCTTGGTGCACGAGCGGCACCTCCAGCAAGTCTTGGTCTTCCTCGTCTTTGGACGTCCTGGCTTCTTCTTCGATACACGGCGCAAAACTGGGGCCATTCCAGGGAGTAGAGAAAATGAAACTGTTAGCAGTTGAATACAGTTTAGCTTTTAACCAACTTCACTGATGGCTTCCTTGGTCATTGCGATATGTATGTACTAATATAAGTACATGCATATTACTATCACTGACCTCAGTGATTGTAACGTTACTTACTATTTTCTGTAATCTCAGTGATAATAACTGAGATATGGAAATTCCTCTTCAAAACAGTGCAAGAGATTGGGATAGACTCGCAAAAATCTATCAGCTGTAGGATTCATCTTCCGGCTCGATGACGTTCACCGAGCAAATTGGTACACATATCGACGGAAGATATGGCATTCTTCCGTCGATATGTGTGCGCTAAAAAACAACTCGCTCTATTGCTGGGTCAGCAATGCTGGCACCGTGCAGTAAATCTTCTCTGTCAACGAAGATTTACTGCACGGCAACGAATTGTTGATGTTGAGACAATGCACGTTTCTTTCTAAAAAAACTTTTAGGCCCTGATTTAGACCCTTTCAAAAAGATATTTTATAAAAAATTACCAAAAGGTTTTGAAAATCTAAATTAAAAAATCGCCGATACTTGACTTTTTCATAAAGACGCTCGGTATTAATGCAAGTACATGTACAATAACTAGCGTGACGAGAATGTAACGCGATGATTTAGCTCGCGTTGATTTAAACATTTAGAGCCAAGTGGCCGCCTTTTGAGGACCGCGGCACCCACAGCATCAGTGAGCCCCCCCCACCCGACCCTGAAATTCCAATAAAATCTGGTCTCTTGCAGCTCGGCAATTGTGGCATTCCACGTGACCGTCTCGCGCGGTGCCACTTTGACTTCTGCAAATTTACTATGATGTTCACCATCCCATCGCCCTCCTTTGTCCAGGCTCCATAGCTTCCTATAAAAGCTTCGTCCACGGTTGTTAGCCCAAGTGCATCGAAAAGAGTACCGTCGTCTACCTCTCCAATAAATGACGTTGGACCACAAGTAGGTTGGACGAACTGGGAGACCATCCAGAGAATGCCCGTTGGGTCCAGACCTGCCAATACCACAAGTCCAAGGTTTGCTGATTCGAGTGTGGCATCATCTTTGGCAACGGAGACTCCCATATTGGTTGTGTTCGTCTCAATCAACTGATCAATAATAACCCCCATGGTCTTGCGTAGTAAGTCTCGCGTCTGGAAAGCAGTCTCAGTGGTTTTGTTGCGCAGAATTTCACCCATACAATTATTGGTAACGAAAGCCACATCGGTTAGAACGAGCGAAGATCTGATCATTGTCACTCGGATATCTTCGCTTGTGGCACTGGGTGTTGCGCTGCGGATACTTTGAATGGTAGTGCTGACACGGTCTGTGAGAGTTTTAAGCTGGAATCCACACGTCGTGTTGGAGTCGAGGAAGTCCTGGATTTCGACCACAGTCGATTCATCTGGAGGATTGAGCGCACTGACATTCCGAAGAAATGCCATCACGTCCGTCGCAGACGCTAAAATCTGGTCTCCGTTGACGATCGCCTGCTTCACAATATTTTCCACTACTGCGATCACGACGCCCGTGACTCGTGCACTGTACGAAACCGGGAGACCGAGACAAGTGCAGACTGCGACGGGTAAGTCCACAACGACAACATCTGTCTGGTACGCTACAGCAAGGAGCTCTTCGACGGAGCCTTGTGGGGCAGAAGTTTGCTGGAATCTCAGATAGTAAATAAGCGATTTGAGCACACCAATGATACTCGCAGCACACATATACGTCTGATGCGCCGCCTTGTACGCGGCCTTGACTTCGCCAAACACGCCTGCAGTTGCAGTGTTGAAAACCACAGAGACTACCGACGCGGCTTTTTGGAGAATTTTCTAGGATACAATCGTCATTTTGGGGGATACACTCCAGACCGCATTTGATCGGATATGACAGTGGACATTGCGCGATACAATTGTTGCCGGTCGTGCTGTATCCAAGCGGACAGAGCTGACTGCTACTGAGCGACTCCGTTTATCGATAACAGGCTGAGTCTAGAGCGTCACCGATGGTGGGACCCACCCAGTTCCTCATCTTCTTGCCATACCATTCTGAACTGTGAGGTACAAATGTGTAGCATTGATCCTGGTCCAAATTGCACCCAATTCGTACACTTCCGTCCCTGCTCGACCGAAAAACCCACTGAACTGATAGCCTTCGGGGGCATCCACCGTTGCACTTTCATCCGTCTTTGACCCTGCACCAACGGAGTTGCCTCTGTTGGTGAACAATCGTAAGTAGAATACCCGTTTCGATCCAAGTTTCTTGGCCACATGGATTTCCATAGAATTGACGTATTCTCCTTCACCGAGTGCGAGGATGTTGTCCGTTCCGCCTGAACCTCCGTGAGACCACGTGGCCTCATCGGTTGATGCCACTCGCACTGTAACTTGGTCAGCTCGCTCATCACCGCGGACTGTGACGGAGCTCAACATTTGTCCGAACTTGACGCCTGAAACGTCCGAAAACGCGATTCCCTTAACACCCTCTCCGAAAGTATCGCTCAACAGGATGTCCTCGTAGTGAAAAGCGGCTCCATAACGGACAATGAGTGATAACAAACTCAGCAGTTTCCAATTGGCCATGGCGACTAAGGCACTACAATTGAGTTGTGTGAGCCGTGAATTGAATTGTGTGAGCCGTGAATGCGTGGGGTAATAGCGCACCAGGATGTCCAGGTTGCAGTCAACAAGGGAATACCTGGTGTATGCCACTTCTCGGCGGCGAATTGCGGTACCGCCGGTAGTATCGGCGGTACGACTCGTACTACGAGACCAGACAAGGACAACTTTCAACCGGTAAGGATAAACAAATCCCGTTATCACTGATCGATAACTTACCAGTTCATCTTTCTATCTAGGTACTGCAGAGATAATTCTTTAACGCGAACGCAACAAGGCTTAGTGGTCTGTTATGCCGGGTAAAACGTTGAAGGGTAATGCGGAAAATGTCTTGCAAAAGAAACTTTTAATGGGTCCGTTTCTGTTCAAACAATTCTGGAGGTAAAAAAATAAACTACACCTTTCGTCGTTTTCTTTTTAAACTTAAAAGTTTCAGATTCAGATTTTGTCCAAATGTTTGGCCTGGTGATGCGCAGACCAGTTCCAAAGTGGCCACTTCACAGTGGACTCCACTTGATTCCCCTGAAGGAAAAAAAGGAATCACAAATGCAGAATACATGTACATACAGAGTACAGTACGTCGTGGTGGAGGGTGAAGCGCTTAAGTACATGTACTGGTGACTGGCACTTGATGTTGACTTTCACATACCTTGAGGTCTGGTGAGATGCGCCGGTGGTGATCGGACAGCGGTGGTTGATATGGAGTTGTTCAAGATGAAGCTGCTCACGATGCAAGTAGCGCACTGACATCGTCGACAGCCAAGTCGACTCTACGGTGCGGAGTCCACACCGACACCAACACCGCAGCGATCCTCCGTCTTCACTGAAGACTCTTCCATTCTTTGTGTAAAGTATCGGTGATGCAAATCCTGGTTCTTGTCCTACAGATTCCAACTTCCCCCCATTACTCGAACTGACTGGATGTATCAGGATGCTTGTCCAACGAAACTGATCAAACGCATTGTTAAACTCACCGAGCGTGCGAGCGATGCAGTCATTCGCTGTACTGCAGGCGCTGCTGCTCCTGTTCGTCGTAGCTGTCTCCGGTGCGACGTCCGATGAGGATATACAGCTCAGTGAAGAGCTCGGTGGGTCCGGTGGCGTCGCGTTCTCTGATATCGAGCTGGTCCGGTTCGGGCAAACCGCCCACACGATCACTGTCAACGCCAAGGAGCGGATCACCGCCGTGATTCTACGAGTGGCGACACCAACCGAGCGAATTCTATCTCATGGCGGATGTAGCGGTACAGACAGCACACTCACTCTCGAAGAAGGGGAATACGTCAACTCTATGGAGATTCACTGGGGTAAAAAGAGTTTGAGTAGACGGATATTCTACCTTAAATTCACTACCAACAAGAAGCGCTGGGTGGCTGGGGGGACGGAGACGGAGGACAATTCCAAAGTCACCGCTCCTGAAGGGTTCCAGCTTAGTGGGTTTTTCGGTCGTGCAGAGGGAGATATTTACCAGTTGGGTGCGATTTGGACGAGAATTAACGCGACAACTAAAGCGCTGACGGATGTCATGGGCACTGCATGGTATGGAGATCGGATCCGGAACTGGGTGGGCCCTACCATTGGCGATGCTGCCGACTCGGCATGCTACAGGAAGAGGGAGTTTTATGGGAGCGGGAAATCCTGTCCTTTAGGATACGGTCCGAACGGTATCAGCTGTCTTGCGCAGTGTCCGATTGCGTATCCCGTCGACTGTTACGAAGAGTGTATCCCTCAAAATGACGATTGCAGTGGGGAGATTCTCCAAAAGACGGCTTCCGTGGTGTCTGCAGTGTTCAACACAGTGACTGCAGGGATATTTGGCCTTGTGTTTTCGTCATACAAGAAAGCGAAACAAAATTTCCTCTGCGCGGCCAACATCATTGGTGTCATGAAGTCCCTCATCTACTATCTTCGCTTCCAGCGCACGACGGCGCCAGAAGGGACAGTCGAAGAGATGCTCGCTATCGCGTATCAGTCCAACGTCGTGATCTTCGACCTGCCCATCGCTGTTGCCAATTGTCTTGGAATTGAAGTTCCCACCAAAGCCATGGTCGCCAACATCGTGTACATCGTGGTAGAGAATATCGTCAAGCAAGTCATCGTCAACGGCGACCAGATCTTCTCATCCGCTGCCAACGTCCTTGCTCTTCTCTCTAACGCCACTATCATCAAAACTACTACTGAGGAATCGACAGTCGAAGAACTTCAGGATCTACTTGATTCTGACACAACGTGTGGGTATCAGTTAAAAAACCTCACGGATCATATCGTGTCGACCATTCACAATATTCGCAACAAGACCCCGAAAGCTACGGTTAATGACATTCGCATTAAAATCAGCGACACGTCAATTGTTCTGCGGGATATTCCCACCGCTACCAACAATTGTTTGCGGGAATTACTGAGGAACAAAACCACTGAGGCTGCATTTGAGACCCGCGACTTAATCCGCAGGACTTTCGGAGTGATTGTCGACCAACTGGTCGAGACGAACTCGACGGATATGGGGCAATCTCTTGCGGAAGACGACTACACTCTCGATGCCGCCAACCTGGCGCTCGTAGTGCTGGGCGGTATGGATCCTACCGGTATTGCCTGGATGTTGTCGCAATTTATTCAACCGACTTGTGGCCCCACTGCGTTTATCGGAGAGATTGACGACGGGAATCTGCATGACGCACTGGGACTCAAGACGATGGACGAGGCGTTTAAAGGCAGTTATGGCACCTGGACGAAGGAGGGCGATGGCAAGATAAGAATCTACTTTGAAAGCACCGATACCAAAGATGTGACGGTAACTATGCATTCGGGGGGTGCAGTGTTCACGAAGGTCAAAGTTCCGGCGAAAAGCAGAGTAAAATGGACTGAGAAGCTCTCCAAGCTGCAAGACAAGGTGCTGTACTTGGATCGCTGGCGTCCTAGTGTGGTTGGCGTCCCTGTATCGTCCGGTGGGTCCTTGGTACTGTGGATCCCGAGGTCGTACGATGGAGGACATCTTACCATGCATGTAAGGATCAATGACAGCTAAAACTTAAGTAAAAAAATGTCCATCTTTGTAAAAAGCACGCATAGTTCTAAGTAGCTTAATCCTCGTCATCGCTCGAGTCTGAACCTTCTTCCAGCGACATCAGCCCGAGTAAAATACGGCGGCAAACTTGACGTTCGTGCTGGCAGAGTTGATGGATGGCATGCACTTCACTGGCGTTGTCTTCCGAAGATTCCGACAATAAATCGCTGTACCGCTTGTCCTTGTCTTGGAGAACTACAGCCAGGACGTCGTAAAGCTGCTCAGTAGGCAAGTTGGAAGCCATCACGAAGCTCAGCAGCGCGTCGCCAAGTCCGAACTCTTGTTCGGCGTCGCCGTTTAGCGAAAAGAACAGAGCGCTGTCGTCGTTATTGGGATGCGCCACTTTCCGACGCTTGAACGGATTTGCCTTTGCTTTGCCTTTGCCTTTGCCCTTACCAATGTACGAGGCATCGTCTTCTACGTCCTCATCCTCGTCTTCGCTGTCCTGCGAGCATGTCTTGAATGCATTCGTGAGGTCCGAACTGGAAATGTGAATCGAATCTGATGGCACAAGAGTAGGAAGCACAAACCCGTAGCGACACAGAAGCTGCAGAAAAGTAACGTTAGTGAGACGTAACGTCCAAGTAACGGCATCATTCTACTCGGATGTTACCTGTGCGTTAGACAGATCTCCATAGGAAATCGTCACAGGTTCTTTCTTCTCTACCTCACGCAGTGCAACTAGCTGCAAAACAGTCAAAAGTGAGCAACATGGCAACATCATCGCTAATTTTCATCCACGCACCTGGAAACTACCTGACTCGGTTTTCACAATATGCGCAGCCGGATTCTCCGCTGAGTGGTTGGCCATGTCAATAACCGGAAGTAGCGTCGGTTCCAGCCCATTTGCAACCTTGAACGCACTAAAATACACGGCATTTTAACAACATTAAGTATTACTTTGAGGTGTATAAAAATTAAATACCGGTACACTGTTTCGCTTGACGTACCGTGACGAAACAATCGAGTAAGCCCACTGAAATTTCTTCAGTGTCGACACTTCAGTCGGCCAAATCACCGGAAATTCGTTGGCGAACGGCACGGCATAGTCTTCGTACAATTTGAGCACCAGCTTATCGTCCAGAATCGGGAACGCTGTGGTGTCTTTGAGCATTTTACGCTGATTTTCATCCCAGCTGAGTGGCAGCGAAATGGCCGTCGGGAGTTGCTGGATGTAGCCATGAAAATCACTTGTGTCCTTTCGAGCAAGTTCTGCCAACAATGCCAAAGTGGTTTTCACTGTGCCACTCAGTTGCAGAGTGTTGGTCTTCTCCTGCAACTTTTGCTTTTCTTCGCCATCGTACTGTTCCAGCCAGTAACTGCCATTTAGAAACGACCCAGCGTTGAGAGTCACCAGTTCAGCACCAAATTGGAACTCGCTCTTCGCCACTATAGAGCGATCGTCTTTGCCGTACGAAGCAACAGAAGACACAGGGTCGATGAGGTCGTGTGCCACCGTCACGCTCGGCTTGTGCGTCGCGACCCACTCCAACAACGACATGATTGGCGTGAAGCGAATATGGAGTTTCTAATTGCGTTTCTATTTTTATTACTTACATCAAAAGTTCCCGAAAAGCATTCTTTTCAACTGCAACAAACGCACATAGGAGCTCTTGATCCTGACGTGCATCAATAGATGACCACCTTGTGCTGCTTGAGGGACCCACAGCAGTAGTGAACCACCGCCTCTACCGGGCAAGCCAAACAATCCTGGACGCCAGCGATCCAGATAAAGTGTCTTGGCTTGGAGCTCGGAAACCGTAGAACTCCATCTCACCGTGTCCCCAGCCCCCACGTCCACCTTGGCATATTCATCTCCACCAGAGTAAATCACGACTGTCACGTCCTCTTGGTCTGTACTTTCAAAGATGAGACTCACCACTCCGTCCCCTTTCTTGGTCCACGATCCGTAGCTGCCTACGAACGCCTCGTCCACTGTCCACATCCCCAACGCGTCGTATAGATTGCCATCGTCAATTTCACCGATAAACGACGCAAATTGGTTGAACAAATTGAGACACCATATAAAAGATACCAGTCGGGTCTAGACCGCCCAGAGCCATTAGCCCCATGTTGGCCACCTGCTTCATGTACTCGTTTTCTGCCACATTTTTGCCCAAATCCGTCGTAGATTTCTCGATAAGCTGGTCGATGATGACTCCCATCGTTTTCCGTAGTAAATCCCGAGTCTCAAAAGCTGCTTGCACGGTTTTGTTGGCCATCATCTCCTTCATGCAATTATTTTTCACTCGTGGGATATCGTGCTGTGTGAGCGTTGACCTGCTGATCGCCACGCGAACATCGTCTACAGCGGCATTCGGTGTCTTGTTCCGAACGTCGCTGACTCGGAAGATAACGCGGTCGGTTAGTTTCTTCAGCTCGTAGCCGCACGAAGTGTTGGCTGCGATGAATTCCTCCAGCTCAGTCACGCTGTTTGCCGAGCTATTGACCGTTGTGGCATTCCGCAGCAGGTTAATGACGTTTGTTGCAGACGAGATAATCTTATCACCGTTGAGAATGGTCTGCTTGACGATAAATTGCACGGCCTGCAGCACATAGCCTGCCCACACCATTCTCGGTGGAGGTGGCATACCCAGACACGCGTACACTGCAACTGGCAGGTCGATCAGCACCACGTTGCTTCGATACGCCACAGCAAGCAACTTCTCTGTATCTCCTTGTGGCGCAGTGTTTTGCACAAACCGGAAGTAGTAAATGAGTGACTTGATCACCGAGATGACGCCTGCTGCGCACATGTACACTCGTTTGGCCCCCGTGTACACCGTCTTGAGGTTGGCAAACACGCCAGCTGTCGCTGCATTGAACGCGACGTTAGCCACTGCTGCGATCTTCGTGAGAACGGCCATCGCGCAGTTGTCGTTCTGGGGGATACACTCGAGAAAACACTCGACGGGGTATGACATCGGACACTGCACGATACAGTCGTCGTCGTCCCTGCCGTAGGCTAAAGGACAGACATTCTTGCTGTCCATGGACTGCGTTTTCCGATAACACGCGTTGTCCTTCGGAACGCCGACAGTGGGGCCCACCCAGTTCCGGATAATATCTCCGTACCAAGCCGTGTCCATGGTGTCCGTCAGCAACATCGGTGTAGCGTCCATTCGCGTCCAGATTGCCCCGAGTTGATACACTTCGTCTTCCGCACGGCCGTGCAAACCACTTAGCTGGAAACCCTTGGGTGCAGTCACTTTGGCGCTTTGTTGTGACTTCGTTCCTACCGACACATTCTTCGCCCCACTCGTACCGAAGTTGACGTAGCATACCTGCGTTCGTCCGTCGTTTTTGCACCAGTGAACTTCCATCGAGTTGATGTACTCACCTTTATCCAAAGCGAGCGTGACTTCTTCACCACCGGGTCCTCCGTGGTTGTATGTCAAGCCTAGAAGGCCTGCTACCTGTATGGTTACTGCATCAAGACGCTCTGCTCCTACACTGGGTCAGTCCCTCGCTTCCATTACGCTTCGAGGACGAAGCGTAATGGAAGCGAGGGACTGACCCAGTGTAATCTTAGAGATATCCGAAAACGCGTTGCCGTGCGGGCCACCGTAATGCTCACTGAGAGCGATATCTTCGTCAGCTGAAACCGGACCAGAGACGGTCTCGTTCACGGCAGCAATAGTGGCCCACACCGCTCCAATGAGGTCGATCTCATCGCCAAATCTACCAAAGAATCCAGCGAGCTGGAAGCCTTCGGGGGCTTGTGCTGATCCTTTAATTTCTGTCTGAGTTCCACCCGCAATTATTGAGGAGCGAGTAAAAATGCAAGCATTTTTTCAGCATTTTATCAGTTATTCTAGGGTCAATACTGTCCACCAAAACTACTGGTTGCCACCACCTCAAAAGAGACTTTACGAGCCTTGTGTAATCTCCTCAACTCATTCGACCTTTTGCAGTCATCCCAACAACTCTTCAGCCCCCTTTTGCCCAAGTACCTCGTGAATTTCACAAACAAGGACATCTGAACGCGTATCTGGCTGATCATGAACCCATGTTGGCCAAGATACACGCGCTCATGAAACACCTGAGCACCATCAAGTGTCGTGTTGCCCTTCGCAAGGTGACCTCTCTAGCGCCCGTCATGCCCAACGCGACTCGTTGGTCGAGTACCTTCAGCATTATACAGCAGTACGACAAGATTTGTAGCGCTCTCCTCGCGTTGGACCACGCTACGGTGGCTAAACATGACATCGCGCGCTTTCTACAGACGCCAGAGGAAACCGAAGCCGCTCGCTCCCTTCTCAAGTCGCTGCACGAGCTGAACGAGGTGTGAGTAAGGCGCTACAAGACTCAACTCTAACAGTGGTGGGTGCACGACGTGCCTTTGATGCAGTGTTGCGCAAGTACCCCAGCATGAAGACCCGGCTTGAAAGTGACGCCTCCGTCGTCAACAATCCCGCACTGGAGAGCGGCATCGTGAAGATCATTGGCGGTGGTCGGCTGAATGCACGCGAACAAGCGGCGTGTACTCATCTCAAGCGCAGCAGCGACGACACAGTGGTAAACCCAGCAGTTTCCAAGTCATTGCTCGCGTCGGCTTTCAAGAAGGCCCCTGTGACGCGCTCCCACCGCAATACTTTCCTCTCGAGTGGGTTCCACCCACGTCGAACGAGTGCGAGCGTTTCTTCAGTCAATCCATGGACCCTAACACTCTTGAAGTGCTTATGTTTCTATCGTACAGCAAGGACTGATGGGAAGGATTTAGTGTTAAAGCTATCAGGCAGAGTATGCGTAGTCAACTTAGGGAATAATGCCATTATTATTGTCTTGGCGTAATAGCAGCAGAATATATTGAGTATGGCATATTGGGGAACCCTGTTCTTGGGGATAAATATCGTCATATTGCCTGACCCCGAGCTCTCCATTGATCCTCCCTCTGCAATTGCTGGAGCTAAAGAAGGAACCGGTGTCGGGGGTGGCTTCACGAGTTTGATATAAGCCCAAATCGCGCCAAGAGAGTCAATCTCCTTCTCTTCACTACCGTAGAACCCCGCAAGCTGGAAACCCTTAGGAGCAGTCACAGTTGTCTTCTGTTCTGTCTTGGTTCCTCCAGAGAGCGAGTTACCTAAATTCGTGACGAAAGCGATGTAGAAAATGCGCGTCTTGTCTTTTGTAACAATACCGCCGGCGATGTGTTTGTTCCAGTGCACCTCCATGGACGTAATGAACTCACCTTTCTTAAGCTTGAGCGTTTTCTGGTCACCACCAGTGCCGCCGTGAGTGAAATGGAAAGTCTTGGGCGCTGATATTTCCAATGTGATGCCGTCGAGACGCTCCCCCGCATGGATAGAGATCGAAGCGACAGTCTGTCCCGAGTTGACAAAGTTCTGGTCCGAGAAATTGGTACCGTGCGGGCCTCCAAAGCGTTCCCTAAGTTGGACAGAGTCCTCGATGGTCATAGGTCCCGATCCTGCTGTAAAGGCCTCGGTAGACCCGACTGCAGACTTTTCAATAGATGCTGCTCAAACCTCTGCTGTCGTCTCCCCCTTCTTCTTCTCAATGAGAGAAAGAGAACCAGAAGAATCGACTGCAGCGAACGCCGAATTTGCGGGAGCAGCAGCAGGAGGCGCTTCAGCAGAAATCCGCGTACAAATCGTCCCCAACTTGTCAATCTCGTCGCCGTCTTGCCCGAAAAAGCCTCCAAGCTGGAACCCTTCCGGTGCTGTGACTGTGCTCTTGCTTTCCGTCTGAGAACCTGCTGACACCGTGCTGCCTGCGCTCGTCCCAAAACTCAAGTAGAAGATACGCGTTCGACTTTTCTTCTCGGCCCAGTGAGCCTCCATCGACGTGATGTATTCACCCTCGGCAAGTGTTAGTGTATTCTCCTTTCCACCCGCTCCACCGTGACTAAAGGTCATGGCTGTGGGTCTTGTCACTTCCAACGATAAACCATCGACACGCTCTTCTGCCCGAATCGTAATTGACCTGATCGTTTGTCCCACCACAACTGAGGCTTGATCCGAGAACTCCTTTCCATGAGAACCACCGAAATCCTCACTCAACTGGATGGGGTCCTGCACGGTCACTGGAGCTCCAGCAGACCCCACTGAAAATTCGGCGATGGGGGTTGCTGTTGAGCTTGTTGTGGATGCTGCTGATCCTCCCGTCGATATTGCTACTATATCATTCGAAGCTGAAGAGGATAGTTCTGATGACGGTGGTATAAAACCCCCTGACCCCGATTCGGAGGCAGAGGCTGCATTTGACACCGCTAACGAATTCGAATCAGAAGAACTTGACGCTTCCGACGCGGACGTGTCATCAGACGCTGCGGTTGAGCTCGACTCGGAAGCATCAGACGCCTCGGAGGCGGATGCTGCATTAGAAGTCGCTATCGAAGATGGCTCGGAGGAACTTGACGTTTCCGATTCATCCGATTCTGCGGTTAAACCCGATTCGGAGACATCCGATGACTGGGCATCTGTGCTGGATGTCAACTCGGAAGACCTTGACGATCCTGCGGAGGACACTTCTGCTAAACTCGATTCGGACGCAGAGGCTGCGCTAGATGTTAACAGCGAATTTGAATCGGAAGAACTTGACGTTTCCGACGCGGACGATTCATCGGACGCTGCAGTTGAACCCGATTCAGAGACAGCAGATGACTCGGCATCTGTGCTGGACGACAATTCGGAAGAACTTGACGATTCTGCGGAGGACACTTCTGCTAAACTCGATTCAGAGGCAGCGCTAGACATTAACAGCGAGTCTGAATCCGAAGAATTTAACGTTTCCGACGCGGACGATTCATCAGATTCTGCGGTTGAACTCGATTCAAAGACATCAGATGACTCGGAATCTGCGCTGGATGTTGACTCGGAAGAGCTTGACGATCCTACGGAGGATTCATCAGACACTTCCGATGGACTCGACTCGGATGCAGAGGCTGCATTAGACGTTATCAACGAATCTGAATCAGAGGAACTTGACGTTTCCGACGCGGACGTGTCATCAGACGCTGCGGTTGAGCTCGACTCGGATTCATCAGACGCCTCGGAGGCGGATGCTGCTTTAGAAGTCGCTAACGAAGATGGATCGGAGGAACTTGACGTCTCCGATTCATCAGATTCTGCGGTTGAACCCGATTCGGAGACATCAGATGACTGGGCTTCTGTGCTGGATGTCAACTCGGAAGAACTTGACGATCCTGCGGAGGACACTTCTGCTGAACTCGATTCGGACGCAGAGGCTGCGCTAGACATTAACAGCGAGTCTGAATTAGAAGAACTTGACGTTTCCGACGCGGACGATACATCCGATTCTGCGGTTGAACTCGATTCGGAGACATCAGATGACTCGGAATCTGCGCTGGATGTTGACTCGGAAGAGCTTGACGATCCTGCGGAGGATTCATCAGACACTTCCGATGAACTTGACTCGGACGCAGAGGCTGCATTAGACGTTATTAACGAATCTGAATCAGAGGAACTTGACGTTTCCGACGCGGACGATTCATCAGACGCTGCAGTTGAACCCGATTCAGAGACAGCAGATGACTCGGCATCTGTGCTGGACGACAATTCGGAAGAACTTGACGATTCTGCGGAGGACGCTTCTGCTAAACTCGATTCGGACTTAGAGGCTGCGCTAGACATTAACAGTGAATTTGAATCCGAAGAACTTGACGTTTTCGATTCAGACGACTCGGTATCTGCGCTAGATGTTAGCTCGGAAGAGCTTGACGATCCTACGGAGGATTCTGTTGCGACGCAATACCTTTGAGTTTGTATACTCGGTTTGTGCAATATGATAGGTTAAAAGGCAATCAAATAGTCTATTTGATTGGATAAATGTCAATAAGGGCAATGGCTGAAGGAAAGAGGCCAGCGTCCAACCAACTTAAGATAAGCCGAGGGATGTGGTGGAGAGGTGGCCATGTGATGCCACCTCATATCCAAAACTGACGGCAACTACCAACTACGTGTGTAAGCAACATTTTAAGTACTTCTCAATGGCTGCTATTGCTAAGACTGGTGGTGGCCTCGAGAAATTTAATGGTAAGTCCTACACTATGTGGAAGGACAAGCTGTTGACTTACGTCAATCAGTTGGACCATCAGTACCAAACGAAGCTGTTAGAGAAGGAACAGCCTGAAGCGAAGGTGCTCATGGCCGACTTCCTGCGGGACAATCCTAAGAAGCCAGCACCACCGACCACCAAAATGGACGAGCAAGAGGCGCTCTCGGCGCGGTGGGACGTGATGCACTGGATGAGAGGAAGCGGCGACTTACAAACTGGCTCAATCAGGTCCTTCCAAACTTCTTTCTCTCTACCCTTCCCGATGTGGTGTCCTCCATGGACCCATGTGAAGTCATTCGACTTCTCGAGAAGAACTTCGGCCAAGGTGACGCTGCGGGCCTGATTGAGCTGACCCGGGCCTGGTCGAAGGTGTTGCGTAGCCCTTGGCGTGACTTAAGGACACTTTTCGCGCAACTTAAGAAGGCAAAGAACGAGATTAACAGAAAGTCTCGGAAGCTGCTCGGCCAGGACATGGTGACCGAGTCTTGGCTGTGCATTGAAGTCCTGTCACAACTCCCAAGTGAATTTTGGGCTTCAGCGATCTCCATGAAGAAAGAGGACTTCACGGTGGATAGGGTCGAAGTGGACTTACGCAAGACCTTTGGTGACCGATCCAAGAAAGAAGTGGGTTTAATGGATAAAACCCAAGCGATTCCTGTCAACAATGTCGGGGTCAAGAGAAAAAGCGGTGCAGGTGAGGGTGGAAAAAGGTGTTTTTACTGCCTCAAGAGTGGACACTTTAAATCGGACTGTTCGGTGATGATCGCTGATAGGGATCCTAACCGCGAAGGTGGACCCCTTTTTAGGACCGATATCAACACTGCACCGGGTGCTAAGAAGGCCAAGAAGCCGAAGACAACCCCGATTAATACCCTCAAATCGGTGGTGCTAGAAGGGGGAAAACGCCTAAATGAGTGTGGGAAGACTCTTCTGGAAGAGTGCATTGAGGACGAGGAGATGGACGACATTGAGGATCTGGACCCCGCCTACCATAAAGG